AGTCATCACCTGTGATACCAGAATCCCTATATGGGAATCCGTTTGTGTCTGAAACAGCTCTGCTTCCAATCCAGCTCCCTGCTGATGGCCTGGGAAAGCAGTGGAAGACGGATCAAGTGTTTGGGCCCTGCCACCCACATGGGAGATTCAGATGAAGCTCCTGGCTCCTGGATTCAGCCTGGCCTAATCCTGGCCACTGTAGCCATCTGAGCAGTGAACCAGCAGATAGAAGATTCTCTCTCTCTCTCTCCCCCTCCCTCTTCCTCTTCCTCTCCCTCCCCATCTCCCTCTCTCCCCCTTCCCTTCCCCATCTCCCCCTCTCCCTCCCCTTCTCCCCCTCTGCCTCTCCCTTCCCCATCTCCCCCTCTCCCCCTCCCTTCCCCATCTCCCCCTCTGCCTCTCCCTTCCCCATCTCCCCCTCTCCCTCCCCTTTCTCCCCCCTCCCTCTCTCCCCCTCTCCCTCTCCCTTTCCCATCTCCCCCTCTCTCCCCCTCTCCCTTCCCCCTCTCCCCCTCTCCCTCTCCCCCCCTCCCACTCTGCCCTTCTCCCCCTCTCACTCTCCCTTCCCCATCTCCCCCTCTCCCTCCCCATCTCCCCCTACCCCTCTCCCTCCCCATCTCCCCCTCTCTCCCACTCCCTGTCCCTCCCTCTCCATCTCTCCCCCTCTCTCCCTTCCCCTCGCCCTCGCCCCCTCCCCCTCTCCCTCACCCCTCCCCCTCTCCGTCTCTCCCTTCCCCTCTCCCCCTTTCCCCTCCCCCTCCCCCTCTCAGCCTCTCTGTAACTGACTTTTAAATAAATATTTTTTAAAGATCATGAACTATACAGTTAAAAATTGTGTAATATACTATATGAAAGTTACACCCAATAAAATTGTTTTTTAAAAAGGCATTTGTTGCAGACTCATCAGCCTCAGGACGTTACACCCAAGGCCCACGCCTCTGGGTTCCCAGGGCCCTTGGCACATGTTTCTCATAGAACTTCCATTAGAGAAGGAGTTACTGCTCCTTAACTGCCAATGAGATTTTTGTCCCTCACTCTATGCGTGTGGCTGTATGAGAGAAGTAAACAAATGTACACTGGCTACAGTGGCTTTCCTCTTAGATGTTACATTTCTGTAGTAAAGAGACCCAATTAAAGAGAGTCTACTGGAAAATATCCCCAAGTACAAATGTTTATGGACCTCTGGGCTTTTCCCTTCCATGAAAATAAAGAGTGCATGATGGGGCCGGCTGTGGTGTAGCAGGTGAAGCAGCCACCTGTACTACCAGCATCACATATGGGTGCTGCTTCGAGTTCCAGCTCCTCCACTTCAAGTAAATAAATAAATATTTTTTTTTAAATGTCATGTTATCCAGAGAGAAGCCCTCTGCCTCTGCCTCTTTGTGGCTCTATATTTCAAAAAATAAAGAAATCTTAAAAAAAAAAAAAAAAGAGAGAGAAAGAGAGAGAGAGAGAACATGAGGCTCTCAAAAGCCTGCAGGGAACAGATTAACAAAATACAAACAGGATGAGGCTGACACTGTGGAGAAGTGGGTAAAGTCCCCCCCTCCCCCCGCAGTGCCGGCATCCCATGTGGGTGCCAGTTGGAGTCCCAGCTAATCCACTTCCAATCCAGCTCTCTGCTGTGGCCAGGGAAAGCAGTAGAAGATGCCCTAAGCCCTTGGGCTCCTGCACCTGCGTGGGAGACCTGGAAGAATTCTGGCTGCTGGCTTCTGATCGGTGCAGCTCCAGCCATTGTGGCCAATTAGGGAGTAAGCCAGCAGATGGAAGATCTCTCTCTCTCTCTCTCTCTCCATCTTCTCTCTCTGTATAACTCTGACTTTCAAATAAACAAATATATTTTTTTAAAAAAAAATACAGGCCGGCACCATGGCTCACTAGGCTAATCCTCCGCCTTGCGGCGCCGGCACACCGGGTTCTAGTCCCGGTCGGGGCACCAGATTCTGTCCCAGTTGCCCCTCTTCCAGGCCAGCTCTCTGCTGTGGTCAGGGAGTGCAGTGGAGGATGGCCCAAGTGCTTGGGCCCTGCACCCCATGGGAGACCAGGAGAAGCACCTGGCTCCTGCCATCAGATCAGCGCGGTGCACCGGCCGTGGCAGCCATTGGAGGGTGAACCAACAGGAAAGGAAGACCTTTCTCTCTGTCTCTCTCACTGTCCACTCTGCCTGTCAAAAAAAAAAAAAAAAAAATACAAACAGGTGAGGGGAAGTGATAATGAAAGCCAGAAAAGGCAGTGCCCCCGACTGCAGGCATAAGTTGTGCCTGACAAACTTGGGATGAGGCGCTTGCCCACCTGCTCCTGAGAGTGGGGATGAGAACCCAGCGGTCCACAGAAACGTGAACTTCAGTGTTCCTGAGCAAAGTGAAAACACTCCGTTTCAGGAAGCTAAGTCCAACCCAGTGAAGGAAATTACCCTTTCCCTAAAGAAAACTCTGCCTGCTCTGCTCTTCTCTGACATGGTCTCAGCATCCTCTCCTGTGTCTTCACTTAAACACAAAAAAGGTCAAACTCCAAATTCTTTGCCAACAAATAATCAGATTCAGAATGTAAGGAGGAGAAGAGAGAAGAAAAATGTGGGCGATGAAAGTCACGGCACTGTGATTGGAACCAGAAGTCTAAGAAACTTAGTATCTCATCACCTCCCACTTGATTCACCAGCAGCTTACCTGGTCTCCCTTCTTCTAAGCTTACCTCTCTATATAAAAGTTCATATTCTGAGGTCTTCAAAAAGTTCTTGGAAAATGTGTATTATGAGAAAAATATAATGCGTTTCAAAAATCTTCACCAAAATAAACTTATTTTCCCTGTTTCTATAAATTTTTGAAGTGCCCTCATACAATGATATTCATGTATGTTTAAAAAAACAGTAAGTAGGGCCCAGTGCTGTGGCATAGTGGGTAAGGCCACTGACTTCAGTGCCAGCATCCCACATGAGCGCTGGTTCGAGTCCCAGATGCTCCACTTCCAATCCAGCTCTCCGCTGTGGCTTGGGAAAGCAGTGGAAGATGGCCCAAGTCCTTGGGCCCCTACACCTGCATGGGAGACCCAGAAGAAGCTCCAGGCTCCTGGCTTCAGATCAGGGCAGCTTGGGCCCTTGGGGCCACTGGGGCCATTTGGGGAGTGAACCGGCAGATAGAAGACTTCTCTCTGTCTCTCCCTCCCTCTCTCTGCCTTTGCCTTACTCTAACTCTGCCCTTCAAATAAATAAAAAATATTTTTAAAAAAAGTCTTAGTAGGGCCGGCGCCGTGGCTCACTAGGCTAATCCTCCGCCTTGTGGCGCCGGCACACCGGGTTCTAGTCCCGGTCAGGGCACCGGATTCTATCCCGGTTGCCCCTCTTCCAGGCCAGCTCTCTGCTGTGGCCCGTGAGTGCAGTGTAGGATGGCCCAAGTGCTTGGGCCCTGCACCCCATAGGAGACCAGGAGAAGCACCTGGCTCCTGCCTTCAGATCAGCATGGTGTGCCGGCCGCAGCATGCTGGCCGCGGCGGCCATTGGAGGGTGAACCAACAGCAAAGGAAGACCTTTCTCTCTGTCTCTCTCTCTCACTATCCACTCTGCCTGTCAAAAAAAAAAAAAGAAAAAGAAAAAAAAAGTCTTAGTAAAAAATATTGAACTACCTTAAAGAACCATGTAGACCTCCAGAGGGATGTCAATAAGCAAGATGGATGACTTGAATCCCTGTGGAACTGTGTGTGTGTGTGTGTGTGTGTGTCCCAACACCCTCCTTTCTCATTGTTACTACCAAAACACACACATGCCCTCCCACAGCACTGCTCTATTTGAGGCCAGAGCAGCAGACACGAGTGAGCTGAGTGCCAGAAGAATACTAAGCAGAAAAGCAAAGAGCATAGTCGATGCCTCAAAATCTTTCCTGTCCAATATTTATATAAAAGTGTGTGGGAAATGGAATTCAAGGATGTTTATTTTGCTGTAAAAATTTTTGAAATCCATGCAGTTTTTTTTTATCATCATACACATTGTCCATGAACTTGGAGATCCCTCGGATACGTTTCCAAAGTTAGAAGCCACAGACAAGCTCGGCGCCACTGGCCTCTGGGCATCTCTCCCGCCCACGTCGAATCCCCCAGGAGGGAAAGGGAAGCTGCACACGCAGGGAATGAGGCTCACGCAAGGTGGAGTAGGGTTGGGGGACACGTCTTGTCTTACACACTGCCTCCTTCAGGTGTTACACCTGACATACAGATACTCAAATATGAGAGGAGTCCCACTTCAACCAAAAAACAAAATCGGCACAACGGCTAACAGTTTTTTACAGAAACATTGACACCAACTGCTCCCTTCCCTTTCACTGTTATTGGCTCCCCCAGTTTCTGGTCCTCAAACTACTGCCTATCTCATAGCTTGGGTTCAAGCCGACACACGCTATTTCCCAATTTCTCCACCTGTTTATTCTTATTTCTCCTTCTAAAAGTCACCACCTCCTTATGTCATCCTGTTATATTCAATATACTTTTTTAAAAAATATCTTTAAAGCCTTTTGGAAGAAAAGGCAGAGTACAAATTAATAACACAGCTTGAGCATCTCATGGTGGCACCCAAAGTGTTCATGAATTTTAGATCTTTTTTTATTTGGAAATTTTTGCATTTACATAACCAGATAACTGGGAGGTGGGAGCCAAGTCTAAACACAAAATTCATACACCTTACTCTCATAGCCTGAAGTTAATTTTATGTAATATCTGTATACGCGTGCATGAAACCAAGCCTCTGTTTGTACGCTCGTGTGTCGACTGTGAACCTTCCTGTGAGGTCAGGTGTGGGATTTTCTACTTGCTGTGTCACATCCACACTCAGAATTTGAAGCATTTCAGATTTCTGCACTAGAGATGCTCAATATGTATTTAAAACACAGCCTCTACCTTAGCAACTACTCACTGCTTAGGAAATTTCCCACTTACAGCTATAAACAGGTAGATTGCAAAACAGCAAGTTGTTTATCACATGTTAAACAGACTGCAAATACAAGACTGCAATTTACTTGATTATTTGCTTGCGGACTTCCGGCTGCTCTTGACTTCAATGTTTGGATTTTCTCAAAGACCAAGTTGACTTTCCTTTTGGTAGCATCATCATTATCAGTGCTCCTGCAAAAAGTGACAGCAAAGAAAACACTAAGGGACACAACAACTGGTCTCAGAAACTTTGATTTGCCATGACACACAGATATAACACAGCCCTTCCAGAAGGTAAATTGCACGGCCAGTGCTGTGGTTAAGCCTGCAGCGCCAGCATCCCACGTGGGCACTGGTTGCTCCACTTCTGATCCAGCTCTCTGCTAATGTGCCTGGGAAAGCAGCAGAAGGTGGCCCACGTTCTTGGGCTGCTGCCCCCATGTGGGAGACTTGGAAGAAGCTCCTGGCTCCTGGCTTCAGTCTGGCCCAGCTCTGGCCATTGCAGCCATTTGGGAAGTAAATCAGCAGATGAAAGCGCTCTCTCTCTCTCTGCCTTTCAAATAAATAAATCAAAAGAAAGAAAAAAAGGCTGCAAATAAAACCAGTTTAAGAAAAGCAGAACATAAAGTATATTTTTCTTTCAATAAAAATGTTACCACTTTGGAACAGGGATTCCCTTTTCCAAATATGTGACAGAGACCTAACCACATTCTAAATTAGCTTGGAGAAAACACCCAGTGATCGGCTAGCGATTTGTTGCTTGATTCACACGACACCTGTTCATTCCAGCAGGGACGCTCCTTTCCTTATTGGGTGTAAGTCTGTCTCTCCTCTCTCATGCACACTTTACTTTTAAATCTCACACTACGAACCACTCATGGTGATCTTAACTTGTTCAGCCTATGTTTAAAAAATAAAACCTGTGCCCAGGTTGTCAGCATAGCAGCCCTTGGTCTAGACTTTTGCACATAAATATCAGAGAAAGTTTTAGTAACCTCTATCACACACGTGGCAATCAGAACAATTTTTTAAATTTTCTTTTAAATAGGCACCTCCCACAAAAGTCTTACTAATCTCAATAAGTCATGTTCCCTTAAAAAAAAAAAAGTAGAAGAATTTAAAGAATTTTGAAAATTGAAAGTTCTTCTACCTTTATCTTAGTATGGCAAAATCCTTCACAAAAAAATCCTAATAACTAGTTCTTAGCCCAAAGAAGCTCTTTGGTTACGTTTTGTAATCTAATCTTATATTTTGAAACTATTTTATCAGCTGTATAATCCTGACAAATAATTGCAAGGCACAACACAAAAATATTAGGTGCTACGATACCAATGAGTATTTGCCAAGTGGCTGACTCTCAGTTATGTCAAGCTATCGTGCTTTGTGGCCCTCTCTTAATAATATCTGATGAGAGAACTGAAACAGAACCCCAAATGCCTGGCCTCGAATTCCAGCATACTTAGTAAGGACTGACAACCTGGAACTCAGCCTCCAAGATAAGTTCAGAAAGCTCCGCTTTTAAATGAGTCATACGTGCTTAAAACACACACACACACACACACACACACACACACACACAGAACCGAGGCTCCTGGCCTGCCCGGCGTGCCTGCTGAGGGGGGTTTTCTTTGCGACTTCTGATAAAGGACAATGGAAGACTTCTGTGCACGTGAAAGAACTCAGGGTAACAGCAGACTCCATTCAAGACAGTCTTCCTGTCTTTGAATTTGCTTTTGAGACAGGAAAGGGTCATTTCAAAAACATACTCCTTTTGCATTTTTAGAGTGTGCTTTTCTTCCCGACACTTTGCTCCCCTCACTCCTAGCCCCCTGCACCTGAGACCTGACTGCTGTTAGGAAAGCTCTAACCACTGAGTCTTAGCCTTCGAGCGCTCACCCAGGCAAGAAGGCAGGGTAACACACAAGACCTTAGAAAACGAAGAGGAGAGACAAGACCCAAGCACACAGGACCACACTTTGTCCTTCAAGGAAAATCACTGACCCTTCTTTGAGGTAATTGTAGAGTATCTGCTTGGCCGTCTCCTCGTTGGTTTGTTGGGTGAGCTCTTGCTGGCCCTTTAAGAGATCCGGTGTGGCCTGGAACACAAGGGCTGTTATTAGAGGGTGACACCTCCAGGAAGAAGTCACAACCCTGAAGCAGAGGCTTCCAAACACATCCCTGCTTTCCAAAATCCACCCCCCAGGTAAGCATCCTCACACCAGCTCCGTAACCCCCCGCAAGTTACAAAACCTCTCCTCCCCCCTTGTTTCTCACCTGTAAATTCAAGTTCACAGGGTTGACGCAGCCCTATAATATACAACAAAAGTACTTGGCACTTACCAACCTTAGTATTGCTTTTATCAGTGTCATTACTGTTTATGGCTATTATTAAACACTAAATGTGCCACTTGCACCCCAACACTTCACAAGTCAACCAAATTAGGATTAACCTAATTTCTCAGGCTAGAAATTAGCCCAGTCACACAGTTTCACAAGGAAAATTAACATATTCACCTAAAACTAACCACTGAATCTCTGTGTGGAAACAAATCCTGCATACTTCCAAACTTCATAGGTACACACAGAAACACGGAGTTTCTTTATAGCGTCTGACAAGTTACTCTGACAGAGCCCACGATGGGATCAGCAGCAGGACATAATCTGTAGTACATAATTTAATCCTAAAAAAATCAGATGCACAATTACTGATTCCAGATTGGGGCTAAGTGTCCCGATACCCTCCACGGCAGGAGTGGATCTTTCAGATCACTTAGGAAGGGGGAAGAAAGGAGACAAGAATCACACAGTGTTACCTGAGTGCTGGAGGTGGAAGGAAACGCCTTCACAGAAACCTTCTTGACCCCAGAGTCCGGCGAGGTAGCCACCGACCGACTCTGCAACTTCAACGTGGCCGTGGCTGTTTTTACTTCCTCCTCCTTTTTGCTCGATGCTAGGGGGGAGGATGCACAGGTCGCAGTACTTTCCCAACCACCTTTGTCTTCCAGAACTTTCCCATCTTTGGTCAGCTGGGGAGGCCTGGGGTGGGCATCCTGCACGGCCCCCTGCAGCTTTGCAAACGTGCGGCCCACACTCTGCTTCCCACGGCGCTCCTGGGACTGTGGCCGCTGCGGGCACACCTGGGACGGCCGCAGGAGGTGCTCGCTGGACTTGCCCAAGTGCCTACTGAATTCGGTGAGGTACTCCGAGTTCCCTTGGAGTCCGAACGGAAAGGCACTGTCCACGCTCCTGGATCTCTTCCTGTCATCCGGATTGATTCTGTTTCGTTTTCCAGACCTGCCTCTTCTCTGAAGGCCGGATTTTTGATCAAATTTTTCAATGAGCTGATCCACACCGGCAATGGATCCTGTGTCAATATCCCGCCCAGTTCCTGGCAGGAAAGGGATGTACCTTCTGTTTTCATGACGATTGACATTGTCAGCGTGGATGGCACATTCCTGGTCATCCAGCAGAAATCGGTACAAAGAGTTGACCGAAGTGGGAGTCGTCGACGACGAGGAGGACCTCCGGGACCGAGCCCCGTCCAAGACGGGTCCTGCCGAGTCCTGTCGCCGGAAGGGAAGGACATCCGGTCTGGTTTTTTTGGTTTCAGAGTGGGCATGGGGGCTGTATGCAGATACGGGCCTCCCGCTGGGGGAAGCGCCCTCCTCTGGCACCCCCTCTTTGGTACAGCTCTGAACATTCACACAGACTGAGGTCTGCTTTTTGGGGTCATCTATGACCACGGAGCTGCATACACGAATGGCTGTCACGTTGGGCTTGCCCAAGTCTTCCAAGGGGGTGCTGGTAGGCTGGGAACTGGTAGGTTTGGGAAAGCAAGTCCAAGGCTTCTTACCGTTGGTAGGTTCTTCTGCTAGAGGTTTTAACCAGTTACTTTCAGGAGACTGGTGATTCTGCAAGCTCAGTTCATTCTTTTCCGGGTCATAGGGCTGTAGGAGCTCTGGATGCCTCTGGAAGTTCAACACGTGGGTTGACTTCATTGGCCCGTCTTTGCGTTCTAGAACCCCGTTCTTGCCCTCATGGACAGAGGGCTGTTTCAGGTTTCTTATTGGGCTGGGCTGAGCATATGGGTTTTCTGGGAGCTGCAATTCTTCTGCCCTGTTCTTCAGCACAGACCCACGGTTGGAATGGACAGGCAGGTTACTGACGACTGGAGAGGGACACGTAGGCCCATTTTCAGGAAAGGATGACCCTGCTAGACACCGTTCCGTGTTATTCAGGACTATGTAGGGGTGGCCATCGATGCCCTGGACCCTAATACTGACACCGTAGGAGCCTGCCTTAGAGTGCTGGAAATTCCGTGGTTTTTTGGTTTCATCACTTGCGAGCCTCAGATGGACGCCGTATTCCTGCTGCACGTGCTGATATTCACCGAAATACAGCTCCATGGTTCACCGTTCCTGCTACCAGGAAGAGACGGAGTAAAAGGGAGACATTAAGTTAGAATTACCTCTGCTTCAACCAAGACCCGAATATTAAGAGGAAGAAACTTCCAAGTTCTAAGGCATCAATACATGTTAAACAAAAAAGAACACCCATGACCTTGGCTTGCCCAAGCGGGCCTTCCGGATGGCCCTGAGCCCACGTGACCGTTATGTTTGTCAACACTGGGCTGGAGACCCAGCCCGAGAGCAGACTACCAGCGTAATGACCTGATGTCTTTGGCACAACTTCCTTGTTCTGTTTCTAGCTTACAAGCTGTTCTGGTTGCTTTCTTTCTCCCCTACTTGGTTTCCTCACACTTGATGCTATTTATTTTTAACCAACAGAATGTGCCAGTTGCCAGCATTTAAAAACAGGGTACTTTTCCATGAAAATAATTGAGCTAAGGGGTTGCCGATGCTCACCATTCTCCTCTCTGAACGCTTTCAGCCTTTAATGCACAATCCTGCTTTGAAGCCGCTAATAATATTTACTGATACAGAACACTGAACGCATTTTTATTCTAAGGAATCAGCTTTTTCTGAGACTGACAATGCCAGTCAATGCTTTCACTTTTTTCAAACCTTTTTTTTCTTAGCAAAAAAATTCAAGTAGTATTGAGATCTGGAAACAGAAAGACTCGGGGCTTCTCATTTTGTGAGGGGTCTGCAGACTCAGAACTGCTGCTGTCACCTTGGTGGTGCGCGCCACCCTTGTCGGCTGTCTGCACACAGCTCCCCAGCAGGACACCCACCCGGCCGGCCCACACCACGAGGTGCTCCCACCAGAAATGCACTTCTATCTCTCTGGGAAACTGCACAGCAAAAGAGATCCACGAAGAACATCAACAACAATGCACAGCTGTCCTCTCCCCTCCCCCCTTTCAGGGGCCTTTTTGAGTTTTGGGTCAATTTCATAGTGAACACTTCAGGAAGATCATCTATTCAATCCAGTTTTCAAATTTTCATCTATACACAAAGTTTTACAAAGTATAAATCATTTCCTCTATTTCTATCTACTTTTATTTGTGTTCTTTTTATTTATTGATTACACTAGAACACACATATAGCTATATTTTTTATTTTTCCCTAGCAAATGAGGTCTTAAGCTTTATCAATCATTGCTTTTCTATATGGTATTTTTATAAAGGGTTTATTTATTGGAAAGTCAGAGTTACAGAGAGAGGGAGAGACAGAGAGAGAGAGAGAGGTCTTCCATCTGCTAGTTCACTCCCTAAATGGCCGCAAAGACCAGCACTGGGCTACTCTGAAGCCAGGAGCTTCATCCGAGTCTCCTGTGTGGGTGGTAGGGGCCCAAATACTTGGGCCATCTTCTACTACTTACCTAGGCTGTTAGCAGGGAGCTGGATCAGAAAGGGAACAGCCAGCACACAAAACAGTGCCCATTTGGGATTGCCAGCCTTGCAGACAGTGGCTTTACCCACTGCGCTGCAACACCGGCCCCCCTTATTATTTTCTAATTTGCTGGGTTCTAGTTACTTTAAAAAAAAAAAAAAAAGGTATTTATTTGAAAGGCAGAGTTAGAGAGAGACAGAGAGAGAGGTCTTCTGTCCACCCCAAATGGTTGCAAAGGCCGGAACTGGGTTGGCCAAATCCAGGAGCTTTATCCCGGTCTCCACGTGAGTGGCAGGGCCCCAAGCACTTGGGCCATATTTTGCTGCTTTCCCAGGTGCATTAGCAGAGAAAGCTGCATCAGAAATAGAACAGCCAGGACTTAAACCGGCACCCATATGGGAGGCTAGGGGTACAGGCAATGGCTAAACCCACTATACCACAGCACTGGCTCCCAGTTTCATTTTTATTACAGTACTACTCCCATATCCCAGGGGACACATTCCAAGACCTCACCTATGTCTGAAAACAGAGTACTAAATACATATTGTTGGCCTTTAAAGTTTAATTTGCAAGTTAGGCATAGCAAGAGATTAGCAACAATAAAAGGGATTAGAACAATAGACTATAATAAAAGTTATGCAAATATGTCCTCTCTCAAGCTATTTTATTGCAGTTTACACTTAAAGGAAGTAACATTATGGGGCAGGCTTTTGGCCAAGCAGTTAAGATGCTATGTGGGAGGTCTGCATCCCAATGGGAGTTCCAGTCCTTGGCTACTCTGCTTCCAAGCCAGCTTCCTGCTAATGAGCATTCTGGGAAGCAGCAAAATAGTTGGGTCCCTGCCACCACTGGAGACCCAGACTGAGTTTCGGGTTCCTATCTTCAGCCTGTACCAGTCTTGGCTATTGCAGACATCTGGGGAGTGAAGCAAGCAATGAGAGTTCTCTCTCAAAAAATAAAGTTAAAAAAAAAAAAAAAAAGGAAACACATTATGACTTCTCTTTGGCTTATCTGAATTGCCAGCAATAGTACTGTTATGCTTTGGGGTCATTATCAAGTAAAATAAAGTTGACAGGAATATAAGCACTGTGATACTTCTATAATTGATCCGATAAGCAGGAGGGCTACAAAACAACTAGCAGGCAGGTAGTATATACAGCATGGATACACTTAGACAGGGGAATGGATTCAGGCCTTGAGGGGTACACTGCAAGATTTCATCACACTACTCAAAACAGCACACAATTTAAACCTGATAAATTATTTCTGTAATTTTTCATTCATGATTTTCAGGTTGTGGTTTACTGTGGACAACTCAAACTGCAGGTAAAGGAAATTGTTGATTTTCCTTCCACGTCCCTTCATTTTATTTTGTTCTAACTTCTTGACTGAGATGTGTCAATCATTTCATTCTTTATTTTAATCAGATGAACTGTGATTTATAACTGTGTTGCTTAGGAACTGGTCTGTTCCTATACCAAAGACACCCAAAATAACAGCCTCAGACCTAAGTTAGCCTTGTTTCTTCCCCAGAGGTAGGATGCCCAAGAATAAAACGGACTCTAGAATATTTATGAAGAACACCTCTTGTATCTTTGTACTCTTCAAATTTCAGCACATATTAGATACCTTATGATTATATGATGGCTGACCCAGTATCACATACACCAAAGGCTTAGGCCCAATGAACCAAATTCCTTTTTAAGTAGCTCTCCAGGAAGCCCCACCCACCAGTCATCCCTTATATCTTATTGGTGAGAACTTAATCACATGGCCACCCTCAGCTGAAGAGTTTGTGTACTAGCTGGGCAATGACACTGTCAACGAAATTAATGTTCGGTTAATAAAGGAGAGAGAAGAGAATGGTCATGGAGATAACAGTCAACAGTTCCACCACTGTAATGTTCCTATTGCTCTCTTCCAGGAAGTTTCTCCATTTACGGTTTTGAATTCTTTGTTTTTGAGGAAGTTTTATATATATATATCCAGTATTTTGTGGTTCTGTTAAAACCACTTGTATTGGGTTAGAAAAGAAGTCTCTACTATTTCTTCTTTATTGAAGTTCCTTCTATAGATGAATATATGGACAATTGTCATTGCCCAGTTTCAAAGACTCCACTTTCAGGTATGGCATTCAAAACACCTCCATTGATTGGTGCAACCCTAAGAATTATTCAGCTCAGTTACAGCACTGTCCTTGCTTATTCTGTCTGATTTGCCTTGGGTCTTCCTGGATATGCTGTCTCCTATTATCATGGCACTGTCAGGCTTGCTAGGCAATCACACTTTCAAATACAGAACCTGAAATATCAACACCTGCCATTTTACAGACAGGAAGGACTCAGAGATATTCATATGTAATACCGATCATCTCACCAACCCCAGTTATTTCATTATGCCTCTCATTTTAGGTTACACGAATATTTTAATAATTTTTAATCAAAGTAAAACAAGCTGTAATCAAGTTTTGTACTCCCTAGCTTCCCTTCCTCAATCCTGAACACATTCCCCAGAAGAAACCAATTGTAAATTTTAGTACTCAACTCCATGGACTGAAATAATATTCCCAGCTGCAATTTCCCACGTTATCAGTTTTACACATGGTAGATGACATATGTGTATACACACACATTTCTCATTCTGCTAGCCTCATAACCTCATCTTTTCTGATACATACTACTCATTCTTTAAAATTCAAGTATTTATTTGTATATTAATTTTGTGATCTCCAATAGCTCTTTCTTGTTCTGTTTCTTTTGTAAGTGCTATAAAATCCTCAGGGAGAGAAGCTACCTCTAACTATTTCCAATTGTCTACTTCATTGTGACTATATAACTATTGTCACCAAAGGACCAAGGACGCTATGGTTCTCTTTCCTCTTGGGGAACTTCGACTTTTCTGGAGGTAATAATTACTATCTTTTCTTTTTTCTATGTTCTTATCCATAAATCCTTCCGTCAGCTATATCACATCTTTAGATGCTTTCAAGTATTAATTTCTAAATGATCAAAATATCAGATAATTGGGTCTTTTTGCCTCGTGACACACCCACCCATGCTCCTACCCTAACAGCCTTGCTGCCCTCTTCATTTTTTCTATAGTTTCTTGAGTTCAAAGCCTCCCTCCTCCTCAGCTTACCCAACTGGCTTGCTTCCAATAGCTTTTCCCTGGGAGGGGGAGAGGGGAGGGTCCAAAGGGATTAAATTTTCTGATTACTTATATTTGAAAAATGTCTTATTCTTTTGTTTATCTATTTATTTATTTAAAAGGCAGAAGGACAGAGGTCCGAACCCCTGGCTCATTCCCTAAATGCCCACAATGGCTGAGGCAAACGCCAAGAACGCAACCCAGGTACCCAAGTACTGGAGCCATCACCTGCTCGCCCTCAGGGTCTGCACTGGCCAAAAGCTGTACCCGGGAGCCGGAGCTGAGACTTGAACTCACATACTACAATCTGGGACAAGGGTGTCCTACCTGCGAAGCCAAACGCCCACCCTCTGCTTGCGTCGATCGTTCACCTAGCTGGGTTTAGAATCTAGGTTAAAAGGATTTCCTTCAGACTTTTTCCTCTTTTAAAGACGTGTTCATCTGAAAGGCAGAGCAACCGAGAGGGAGAGGCAGCT